TTATCATACTACATTTATAACATTGAATAAATAAATAAACAGTTGTGTTTAGTTACTTTTACTAACACGTCAAGTGGCCTATGTTAAAAATATCATTTAAAATAAATACTCTTATAGTACATTTATACAGTACAACATCTTTCTGTTATGTTATTAAATTCAATCCATTGTTGATTTAATAATTTGAAAGAGGCGGTAAACACAACAGTGTCCTAACCAACGAAAATTCAATAATAGAGACAATAACACCGTTTTATTTAGAATTAAAAATATTTTAATGCAACACTGTCTTATTTTTTTTTTTCAACTTTCCACTAGATTACATTTTGAAAAACTGTTTATTGGACCGTACAGGACTGTACAGTGTAAAACTTTAAGGTAATTAATTAATAATAATTGTTCTAAATATGATACTTGGATATCAACATCGTCGACAATATATTTTATTTTAATAGCAAAATAAAATAGTACACCAAATTTTATACTTTTTGGGTATAATATATCGATGGTATACAATTTTACTTTATTCAAACACTGGTCTATAATAACAAAAGTAAAGTAAAAGCTATGCGTAGGTATAAAATAATGTATAACCGAGTAGGTTTCTCAGCCTGACACTTAAACACGTTCACGCGGATTTCGGTCTTGTGGGGTCACAATTTTATGTATAGTTGTGGCAATTCTTTAGGATGGCGTTTAAATCGCCCGGCCGTACTACAAGTTACATCCATGGTCTGTGTATTTACTATAAAACCTTAACTGGAAATTGACATGGTGGACAGACAGCTTGCTAGAAAAAAGCCCGGTCGACCTACGTTCTTGATTTTGCTTCCTTTATATTACATTGCATTACAACTGGACATCACATAAAATGAATGTGCGTCCACTCAATAACAAATACGTTTCAACAAAATATACGGTTCAGTTTATTATATAATACCAACTAGGCTTTGAACGTAAAGTTACAAAATGTATTAATTTAATTTATTCCATAGTTTCTCGTTAGCAGTAGTCATTCAATTCATATATTTTAAACTCCGTTTTAACAAAAAAAAAAAATGTGCATTTAATTTAATTTCAGTATATAACAAAAACGTTTTACAGCTAAAATCGTTTAGTGTTTTTTTAAAAACAATTGTTTTTATTTTTAGTTAACGAGTTGGTTTCTATAATGTTGATTTAATGGTATATTTTTATTAGTGAGTATCCAATAGGTAAACATTTAGACTAGAAATTAAGTAATCGTTAAAAACTAAAACAAAAACATAAAATTAATTAGCAACATGGGTCGTAATTATTATGACAATACTCAGGTAATAGAATTGATGCAACTAATATATTATAGTACGTATTATATAAAATGTTTTTTTTTTACTGAAAATCGAAATGTGTTAATTTTTTTTTACAAAAAAAAAGTACTATAGTTTAAATAAACACACAACCAACACACGCAGCTACACTATATTTATATTATAGTAACCATAGCTTCGGTAGTATGATACTGAGAAAAATTAGTTTACTGAAAACTGCTACTATACTGTGCTATACACACTCAATATTTAATGATGGTAAATTACGTATTTTTCTCTTTTGGAAATGAAGACAATAGTTTTTCATACAAACTAATTTATCCATTATCGTATATTAAATAAATTAAAAAAGGTATACCAAAACTATTGGAGTTGTTATTAGTGTCGTGTCAGAATAGTATACAATTACTTCACTCAATAATTGATCAATACAGGACAAAACTCGTAAAAGTGCTCCCTTAAATGAAACTAAACGATAGTATACAATTGAATGAGCATCTGTATAAATTTGATAACAGTTACTCAAAAAAAAAAAAATTAACGAAAACGTCAAATTGTCAACCTCGAGGTTCTTTATCCGCCCGCGACTGGGGTATATTGTAGTATGCTTCTGCACTTAAACAAGTACTCAATGTAACACCAAATGTTCACTATTAATCTGTACTTGTGACTGTACACAACAGCTAGATAGTATTAATCTTATCATTGAAGTCCATCCCATGGGAATAAACAGGCATTGTCGGCAAAGTTTGTTTCGAGAAAAACGCAAACAATCGATTAGTAACTAAAAATATATACATATACTTATACAATATTCGTCCTACTGGTTTTCTAATCTAGGACTCCTTTAGAGTAGCACAAAAGGTTATCTACTCTATTGGAGCATCTATTCTTTATTCTATGAGTCCTAAATTAAAACGTTTAAATAGTTACCAACCAGATTGATCTGATAGAAGTTTTCTTCTGCAGTTTTCAATCTAAGGATTGGTTTGCAGCAATTTCCGTGCTTCTCTGTCGCTGACCTTCATCTTCAGTTATTAGTATGAATTACATTCTTGATCTTCTATAATCTGTCTCATGTATTCTAACCTAGGTCTTCCCCTGTGGTTTTTTCCATCAACCCTTCCAAGATTAATCTTAGCATCCCTTCGTGTCTTAGAATATGACGTATCCATTCCGATAGGAGTATAAGACTCCTAATACGACCATTTGAAAATGTATGGAGAGAATCCTATGCGACTAATCGCTGTTGAAATAACTAATACATAAAAGCTTCTACTAATATTCTGATGATCTAGTATCAACAGTTATCCTTTTTCATCACTTCATAGCTATATGTTTTTGGCCTGAACAAAAACTACTTTGGATGCTATTAACTAACGGCCATCCATTTATTGAGTAAATAGTACATACATCGTGAAATACATATCAGAGACCCGTAGGGGTGTTTTACTTACAGACTAGTAGATAATTGGCCTCTACCGGGATTTTCTAGTACGTGCCAATGTCTGGAACGTGACAGTTAGTTATAGATAGGTTTATAATATTATCCGACAGTCTAAATAAATTATTATCCGTCGACGGGACGTGTGAGAAGGCCATTATACAATTAAATTTGGCCAACCAGACAAACAACTGTCAACATCGCATAACTCAACAATTAGGGATTAGCAAATAGCAATAATAGAGCATCAGTAAAAACATGTTGCACTAACAGCTTGTGTATGTAATAGAGATTAGGAGAAGATATTAACTAACAACTATCGAATAAAGTCTACAAGCATCATATTATTTATAATTAGAATTGACGCTAATACTCGTAACTCTCCTATAGTATTTTATGGAAAACGGTTAACCGAACAGTCAACAGTTTTAGACCTTAGATTATTCTCGATTTAAAAACGAATAAAATGTTGTTGTCATTTAGATCATAATTTTTTATATATATATATAAATGTAATAACTGGATTTAAAAATATATCGGCTATTTATTCCGTACAAATTAGTAATGGGAAATCTGAGTTTTCATTAAAGAAACGCTTTTCAAGACACTTAAAATCTTTGAATTATTAAATATTATTACAATATAGAGCTGTGAACCGATGTAAAATATTTCTTATGAAAATGTAATTTGTTAAATCCGTAATTCGAAAGCAATTTATTGTCAAAGTTGAGCGTTTTTTTAAATTTTCATACTACTTGTATACACAGCTTTATATTGAAATAATATTTAATATTATCAAATAAATTTAAGTGGCTTAAACAGTTTTTTTTTTCCGGATTTTCGGATTCCCTTCACTAGTACTAATTGAAATACAGATTAAATTTGATATGTATACTGTTTATGATTGGATAAGTAACTAGAAATGGATTTATTATTTTTTAATAATAATACGATAAGTATACGATTGGTCTTCAACATATAAATAAACATAATTGTAAGCAATTGACGCTTTATCGTATAGTAACAAAGCTATAACCGAATTCGTAAGAAAAGTGTTGAGTCACTAAATGATATTCAGATTATAATAACTATTATTATTAAAAAATAATGTCTAAAAAATAAGTTTATTATTTATAAACAATGTTACATTAAATTGTATTATCATTACATAAAACGTACATTTTTTTATAAATGTTTGTTTTTAAGTGTCATCTCAACTAAAAAAACGCAAAGCTATGAAAAATATGATTATCAATCAGATTATGTAAGAGTAAGTGAATTTGGTATGACCTAACTCAGTAAGTATATTTTATTTTGTTATGACGTAAGCATAATTATAATTAATGAGGTATCTTTATACTATTATAAGAATACATTATATGACATACCTACATCACTAAGGTTTAAACAGTAATTTTAATTTTAATATCACTATTCTTAGTTTGTAATATTATACTTATCTAATTATTTTATTTTTTATTTAAGTTTTTAGGATAAAATAATACTTAATAATTTTAATAAAACTAAATAATATTATTATAATATTATACAAACAATTTATATAAAGATATACATTTTGAAACACTACGGTTCCTATACTAACTATTTAATTAAAGATTCTCTTGTATATATATTACCTTAGAGCAATCTGATAATTAAATATTGCGATTGTTAGTTAATATTAAATTAGTACAAATTAGAATGTTGTTGCATTGTAATAAGAGGACACTTTTTGTACCGGCCGTTAAAAATGTATTGTGAACTGTACTAAGTAGCAGTCTAAAAAGAACCCTAATCGTGATTTACATTTTTACTTTAGGTACTGAGTTAGTACTGACTATTGAATAAAACGAGCATTTTTTGTGGCAGTGGAGTCAAGCTATTTAAAAATACGATTAGCTTTAATTTCTTTTGTGGTAAAAATTTAATACAAATTAGAAGATGTTTGGTATATAAGAATAAAATTACTATAGAAATAAATTAAGAACTAAAATTAAAGAACAGAAACCTTTTTATTGTCTCCTAAAAAATCTATATTTTTAGCATCTTTTTCACATAACCCGTCCAATTGTACAGTACAATTTTTGTGTGCATTACAGTTTTCATAAAATATTTAAAGATTATATATTCTATTATCGCGTCCTATACGAGTTCTCAACAAACTGAATTATTTTTAAATAATAACGAAAGACATCGGTTTGGTAGCAAAAATATTATAAAATAAACGAATCTTATAATTATATTACCTGGTATGAGAGTTCGTAGAAAGATACCAACTGCCAGAATCGAAGGTAACATAGTTGATTTGTCGGTTTCAAAATCTGAAATACAAAGATTTTAAGTGTGTTAAGCAATTGTTTACATTTACCATTTATCTTAAGAGTAGTAGGAACATTTTGATTATTTTAATAACAAACAATTTTTTTACTGTGGATCTAAAAATTGGACAGAGTTAAATCTAACGATGCTTGTCATTCGTCTCCATTGTGCTTGTTTTTTTATTGTTATTTTTGTATAACACTTAACCCGCAGAAAACTATGTCAAAGATAATGAAATTTCCTAGTTTATTAAATAATTACAAGTCTTAAATACAGTGTTGTTTAATATTTACAATTTGTTTTCTATCTTTTCACGTTTTATGTTTTATTGATAAGTCATGATTTTGAAAATGTCTTTAATTAACATTATTCTCTTCACTTTGATGTCTTATGATCTGATTTTTTTTCCATTTGTGTACATCTGGTTGACAAAAAACACGATCACAAGTTAATTGTTATCGTGAACATCTTTCGTGGTTAACCATGTACGGTTTTCATATATTTCTTTTAAACCCATTAGTGTTTAGTTGTCAACAAAACTCTCAGACCAGAACCTAAAATGAATAGGTCATAAAACTGTGTAGGCTGTAGCTACTTTACACCGTTGACCGAGCGTATAGGTACTTTGGAGAAATTGATCACGGTAAAGGTACAGGGGACTGTAGCGTTAAAAACGTAATCAGTCAATTAGGTTTGCGGACCACATGTCCATCCGAAAAGGTCCCAAAGCAACGTGTCAAAACGCATTACTAAAGTAACGTTCACGGTAGAATTATCTATGAAAATATCATCGATCTCCTCCACCCCCTCATTAATGGGTTCTAATTTATTGCACAAAAGTTGCATATATATATATATATAATATATACATAAATATGTTCTGTATACCATTTGACTTATGCATTTTTTATCTAGATGAATTGTTTTTACACTGAGTCACAATTACAAAATCACCTTTCATTTGTTCAATCTTTTTAACAAATGGCCAATACGAATTCAAAATTTAATTTTTATTATTTATATTATCTTACATAAATATACAAAAATGTATTTTCCATCATAAATGACCTATTACCCAATGACCCATAAATACCTATTGAACGCCTAAAGCAATTTCCACCAACTTGGTTCACTTATGATATACGGCCTGGAAAAAAACACTGTGGGGGGTAAGACATTGTGTTCGTAATGCTTTATAAAATATGTAAACTGTTTTTTGATTACAGATTTAGACTATTTATGCTTATTTTTCAATATTTAATCCATCTTCTTGTGCTTTAAGTATAAGATTTATAATTAAAAGAACAGCCAGATGTACCCAATCTCCAACTAAACTCTAATTTTTTGACATTCAGTTTCCTATAAAACATTAAAAACAGGAATTTTTATTTAATACAACTTAACGTCAGTGAAAATATTATTCGTAGAAATAACTCTTCGCATGATTGTACAAACTGTTAAATGCGCACTTTATTTTTTGTTTTAAACTAAGAAACAACGAAGAAGTGTCTTTACTATACCTTATAATAAATTGCACGTACGTAATGTCCTTTATAAAAAATCCAAGACAACAACAACTACTGTTAATGAGACCCATGTGTTCATAAGTACAAGAAAAAAGGGATTCACATATAAGATTCTATAGCTAATTTGACACAATCCTGTAATTCGAAAAAACGTTTTAACACATCAGCTAATTCAAGACGGAACCTTAGCCACCTGAAATTTAAACTGTTATTTAAATAAAATATTTTATGGTTTACTTAAAAAAAACAAAAAATAACTTGTGTCCTTGCAAAAAATTAATTGTATATAAACTAAATTTCATTAGGAATAAATTATAGGTACGATATTAAAGCATCGTAGTTTGCTATACGTTTCTCTTGTTGATATCCATGTTTCACAGAGTATATATCTAATATTATCACATATCGCTTGTTTGCTACAACAACGACATAACACAAAAATCGTCATTTTTGAGTTGTTTGCAAATAATAATAATTTTAGTGTTTTTCTTTATACTGCAAGAACGACATAAGTGAACATTCAAAATTAGCCGCTAGGTGGCAGTTGTGACGTCATAAGTTAAAATCTTAAACTAACTCCTAATTTTATAATAACAATATTGTTGTAGGTAAGAATAGAAAGCAAGAATATAGTGTGTTATAACACTTTACTTCTAATAAAAAAAATTTTAAAGCAATATAAATATTAAACATGATTTTATCATAATTTCATTGTAAATAAAATTTTCAAATTCGTTTTGTGTAAAATCATGTTTTTTGTGTTATGTCGTTGTTGTAGCAAACAAGCGATATGTACATCATGACTTTATTAGTTAAATGCGGTTTTCACCTTAAAACGGTTTAAAGCAATTTATCCTCAAAGTAATTAGCTAGCTGTTAAATGTTATTCAAATCTACAGGAACCTACGGCCTACAACTATTATAGAATATTTGTACCAAATGCGCTAATTGTCGCATAGATACATTATATGTTGGTCATGGAGGACAAATTGACAAAGTTATTTTCCGAAATTACTCAAAATAATAACATACTGACAAAACCGAAGTCAGCTTTCAGCGTATAACGTAGCAAAAGCTTCTTTGAATTTCTCAAATCCAATTTAGTAATTATTAATTAAACAACAGCTGTTGACTTTGTTTACAAACAACATATATAAAACCAAGAATGTATTCGTCGGATCTCTCGTTGGGTTTGCTTTAATATTTAAACTAGCAACTTATGGAACTACAAAAATGTAGGTATACGTTACATTTTAGCTGTGTCAAAAATGTAAAGCCAAATATATTTAAATATCAAAATATTATTGATTTTATAGCTTTAAAATTAAAATATATAATGCAATTTTTTTGTACTGAATAGTCAAAATGGGCGTTAATATGTATTATATACAAATATTTCAATAATCCCATTATTTTGTGCCCAAACAAATATTTTCATCATTGCTACGTATTGAAATTTCATTGAAAATAAGGTTATTAAGGTCTATATAAAAATTTTCTTATTATTTTCATTTATTTTCGAGGCCTATGATACCCACGCATACTAATTTTATTTTGTTTATTTATTCCTTCAAAGAATGCTATAATGGCGATGCTCACAAACTGTGTCGAAAATAGCAGGTAGCTAAAAGATTTACATAAACTGCGCCCATAACTCAAATTTGTTTATAATAATATCATGTTACGGTTTAGATTAAATGATATAATGATTTCTTCTACCTCGATATCCTTATTATATGTGATGCCAATCAATGCTTATTAGTGAGATTATTTTTCTGTCTATACAGAGTAATCATTTTATCGTAAACCACTGTTTTTATACAAGGTAATCTCAATTTTTCTCAATTTTTCACATTTTTTTTTGTTTTTATTCCCCTCCCAACTTGGTTTTTTTTAAAGCAACTTTGAAACTTAAATGGTAATGCGTACATTTTAATAACTTTTTAAATTAAAAATAATGTACTTAAGATTTTGACTGGTCGATAACCAGTTTTGAACAACTATTTTTAAGTTACAAGAGTTTAAAAGTTAGGACGGGATGGGAATCGCAGTTGGGAAGTGCAAGCAGATAAAAATAATACTACACTCAACTTCAATAACTTCAAAAATAGTTATCCAAAACTGGTTATCGACCAGTCAAAATTTTAAGTACATTATTCTCAATTCAAAAAATTAATGTAATGCATGCGTTACCATTTAAGTTCCAAAAGTTGCTATCAAAAAAACTATGTTGGGAGAGGGGTTGTTAAAAACGAAAAAAAGTAAGATTTCCTTGTATAAAAACATTATGAAAAAAAAAATTGAATATATTTTTAAACTCTATGAGATATTGAGCGGTTATCGATAAAACGACCACACTGTATAATATCTGTAAATCAGTAATAAGTAGTACTCGGCCGCTGAGGTACCTAAGACCTTTTGTATTATTAAATTACTGAGTAAATATAATATTAAGCTAGTTTTAATAAAAGTTTTACGTACGTTAATTTAAATGAGATAAAAATAATTATTCAAAAATCAAGGAAAAAAATGTATTGAAAACGACAATAGATTTTTGTCTACAAAAAAAAAAATTAAAACTTTATAATAATTTGTATACATTGTCCATTACGCTTATCATAATAACTACACAAGCTTAACATTATTTTTTAATCCGCTATTTATTTATTTTATAATATATTTTAAAATAAAGTTCATATTTTTTGAACCGCCGAGTTTATCTAGTTGGACGCAATCGGTGTGTATTTAAGTTATCTGTTAATATTATGCTGATAAAACTTGGCATAATTCATGTAGTGTGGGCGCAGTTTGAGTGTACTTCCTCCGGGTATATATCTTGTATATTATAGGAGAACTCTAGCATCATATCATATCATACTTACATCATATCTATAACATTCAGTACGCTGCCTGAGTATTGTGTATTGTGTACAATGCTCAGCGCAGTTTTGTACACAAACAAATGTAATTTTACAAAAAAAATTCATGATCGTCGTCTTGGATAAGACAGACTAAGATTGCGCCGGAGGCAACGAATCACTCGGTTGTAATATTTTCTTGACACATACGAATGGTATTATTGTGTGCGTGTAAGACGATATTGCGAGCCACGAGTGGAGTTGTCAGTTTTGCATTATTTATTCACCGTGGCTAGATTGAAGTACATATTCGCGTAGTAGAATGTTGTAATAAAATAAAAAACGAAATATACAATAAGAAAACAACAACATGCAATAAGTTTTACAGGACTTCCTAAACCTTATGTCGTAATATTATGAGTGACCCGTATTCAGCGTTATAATTATTCAAATTATTGGTCACAATTAAAACTGTTTAGTGCAGGCCAGGCAGGTGTTCTTGGCCTGTACATATTATTTATCAGTAATGCATTTTTTTGTGCCCATTCAAATTTGAGCCGAATTCGTGTACTTGATAAATATCAGTTTTTAATCGCATCTATCTTTACGACTGATTAT